GTTGACTTTGAGGTGGATCCTAATATTGATCTGAATATTGACCGGGAAGTTAAAACTGGAGTAGTTAATAATTAGCTAATTTATGAATTTTATTATTATCCACATTCATGAGTTTTAATTAGCTTAATACGATTGATTCTTTTCCTTGGAAATTTTTGGATGTAAATATTTAATGGTTGATTTATGTTTTGGGTAGTTTTCATTGCAGGAGCTCCATGAGATGAGATTTTTGTCGAGAAAAATAGAATAGCCACTAGTAGACTTCCAATCATCAGGATTGCCCGTCCAATCTGTATTTGAGAATGCATGAAAGGAGATGAAGCTAGTCTTTCGAAGTAATAATCCATAAGAGATGGTGGCCTTGAGATATCGCAAGATGCGTTTCACCGCTTGCCAATGGATTTCAGTGGGACGATGCATAAATTGGCAAACTTTGTTAACTGGAAAGGAGATGTGTGGCCTTGTTAAAGAAAGGTATTGGAGAGCCCCAACAACACTGCGGTATGTAGATGGATCAGAGAGTGTTGTGCCGTGAAAAACAAATAAAGAAGTATGACTAGCCATGGGAGTGTTAACAGGTTTTGCAGTGGCCATGTTGGTGCGTTGTAGGAGATCAAGTATATACCTTCGTTGAGAAAAAAATAGGCTAGAGGGTAATGACATCGCCTAAATTCCCAAAAAATAATTTAGACTTCCCAGATCAGTGACAGCAAAATCCACTTGAAGTTGTTTGAGTAGCTCATCAATTACAGTAGGGTCAGAGCTCGTGATAATAATGTTATCAACATAAATCAAAACAAAAAGCATCATATTGGATTGCTGAAGAATGAATAGAGAAGAGTCAGCCTTAGAGGATATAAAACCAAAAGCAGTGAGAAATGTACTAAGTTTAGCAAACCAGGCTCATGGTACCTGTTTTAGGCCATAAAGAGATTTGTGAAGTTTGCAAACATGGCTTGGCAAAAAGGGGTGAACAAAATCTTGTGGTTGAGCCGTGTATACTTCTTCGGTGAGCTCCCCGTGTAAGAAAGCATTTTTAATATCAATCTGACACATCGACCAGCCACGAGACACAGCGATAGATAGAATAATTCGGATGGTTATAGATTTAACTACAGGGCTAAAAGTCTCATTAAAATCAATGCCAGGAACCTGATGAAAAACTTTGGCGACTAATCGAGCCTTGAAGCACTTGATAATGCCATTTGAATTCCGTTTGATACGGTAAACACATTTATTCCCCACAATGTTCATGGTTGAAGAGTAGGGAACTAATGACCAGGTGCCATTCTTTAATAGGGCATCAAATTCTGAGTTCATGGCAATGCATCAATGGGCATGCTTAGAGGCCTGGGTGAAGGTGGTGGGTGTGAGCTCTTCACATGATGCTTCAATGAGCAATGCACGAGGGAGAGAGTAGCGCACTGTATCATCATGATGTTGTTTGGGCTTGAATATGCCATGCTGTGAACGAGTGGCCATAGTGTGAGGAGCCACGGGTGCAATAGGAGAAGTAGTGGGTAACAACGCATTTTTAGTTGGTATGGTGGAACCTGAAAGAGAAAGGTCAGTGTTGGGTGACAAGATGGGTGAAGGACTTAACATAGGAGTCTCGTGGGTTGAATTTGAAGTGTGGGTTGAGCTGGAAGAGATAGACCGACTAGAGGGAGACCCAAGAATAGATGGGGACCCATGAAAGACTGGGAGAGAGATGTCTGTTTGAGACTGAGATGGTGTCCCTATAGAGTTAGTATAGAAAACAAATTGAAAGAGAGATTCATTGAAGACAACATCACGAGAAATATAGAGTCCCTCAAATTCAAGATGAAGACATTTGTGACCATGATGGGTAAGGCTATATCCTAAGAACACACATTGAGTGGAGCGGTAATTAGTTTTATGGCGATTGTATGGTCGAAGAAGGGGCCAAAAAGCACAACCAAAAATTTTTAGAAAGGTGTAATCAGGAATTTTGTGAAAAAGTTTCTCAAATGGGCTTTGGTTGTTAAGGGTGGGAGTGGGCCTGCGGTTTATTAGATAACATGCAGTCTTAGATGCATCCTCCCAATATTTAGGAGGAACAGATGCATAGGCCATGAGGGCAAGCCCTGTCTCAATAATGTGACGATGCTTACATTCTATGGATCCATTTTGTTGATGGGTATGTGGACAAGTCAGACGATGGGTGATGTCGTGTTGTTTAAAGAAATTATTAAGACGGCGAAATTCACCGCCCCAATCACTTTGAAATGATTTAACCTTACAATCAAACAAGCGTTCCACATGAGTTTGGAATATTGGAAAAATACGTTTAACATTAGATTTGTGAGAGATAGGATAAAGCCAAGTAAAGCGACTAAAAGCATCAAGAAAAGAAACATAAAACGAGATCCATTAATAGAAATTGTGGGAGAAGGTCCCCATACATCACAAAAAATTAACTCTAAAGGAGAAGAGAATGTAGATGATAAATTGAAAGGAAGTTGACGACTCTTGCCCTGTTGACAAGCAGAACTAACAAGTGCAAATTTATTTGAACTAACATGTAGGTGATGCTTGGAGCTGATACTACGAACAAGTGGAAGAGTGGGGTGGCCCAAACGTTGATGCCATGTATCAAGCGAGACAGGTTCTCCAATAAGAGCAACAGGAGTGGAGGACTTGGATTGTGAGTGGAATGAGTAGAGCCCATTTTTAAGTGGTCCTTGATGGAGGATTTTGTGGGTGACCTTGTCCTTAAGCAAAAAAAAGTTAGGATGGAATTCAAAATAGCAAGAATTATCTTGAACAAATTTAGAAACAAAGATGAAATTTTTAGAGATGTGAGGAACATGTAGAATGTTACACAAAAGAAATTGAGAGGTGGGTGTAGAAAGATTTTAAGAGTCAATGTGATGTATGGATAAAGCCTCACCATTACCAACTTTGATGTGCTCATTGCCCGTGTACTCCTCTGCATGCAGATTGAAATTTGCAAAGTCTGAGGTCAAGTGATGTGTGGCTTCTGAATCTAGATACCAGTTAAGATCCGTAGGGAGTTGAGGCATGGCAACATAAGCGGCAAGGTTGGGAGTTTCATTGTGAAAATTGTGATCAAAGCAATACCAGCAAATAAGTGCTTGATCACTAGGTTTGCCACAAACCTGATAGGTGGGCCTATTTATAGTAGATCCCACTGGTTGTTGCTGAGAGGTCGATCCAGCGTAGTGAGAACGCCCACCACGTCCACGACCCCTGCCTCCATGGTTTGAGAAGTGTTGGGAGCGACCATTATTTGAATTTTGTGGTTATGGTGATCTGTTGGGATCTCCACGAGTATTGTTTTTGGCTGCAAGATGGACACTGGGAAAGACGGTGTTAGTAGAAACTTGGTGGAGCTCAAGTCGATTTTCATGAGCTAAGAGATGACCGAACAGTTCATCAATGGAGAAAGGGTCAATCCATGTAGTAACGGAAGTGAAAAATGGATCATACTCCAGTCCCAAGCCAGCAGGAATGAAGGATATAAGCTGACAATCTGTGAGAGCTTCACCAGCAGCAACTAAGTCATCATAATAGCCCTGTAATTTTTGAAAATAATCAGTAATGGAATCACCACCTTTCTTGATGGTGGCAAGCTTGAGGTGAGCTTGAATGGTTCTAGCACAAGAGTGAGAGGTGTACATGCGATCCAGAGCACACCAGAGAGCACAAGAGGTAGTGCAACCAACAACATGGGGAAGGATCTGCTCTAAGAGAGAAGACATGAGAATACTGAGGACCAATTGGTCTGTTTGAAGTCATGTGAGAAAGGGAGGGTTGACCATAGTAGCATTACTAGAGTCTGAAGGAGATTTAGTATGAAGAGTTTGTGGAGGAGATGGAGTGGAACCATCGACATAGTGATAAAGGTGCTGGCTACCGAGATAAGGTGTAATCTGGGCTTTCTAGAGGATAATGTTGTCACGGGTTAGTTTTATAATGACAAGATGATGAATAGAGGATGGAGTTGGAAAGGGAGGGGCACGAGAAGCGTTGGTAATTTGAGGAGAGGTTTGAGAGGACTGTTCTGAGGCCATGGTGACGTGAGTCAATTGCTCTGATACCATAAAGAATTTTAGAGATAGATGAGAAAACCAGAGGAAGATGATGAGAAAATATATTTTCTGTATATATTTCATTGTCATCCTGATTGTACATTTATAGACTGTAGAATAACTATCTGATAAGATACATAGTTTGAATTTGTACATTTACAGACTGTAGAATAACTATCTGATAAGATACATAGTTTGAATTTACAAAATACATGAGCTAAATCTTCGAATCCTTATCAAGTTGTTGTGATTGTTTATCCTTGGAGATCTTATCAGATTGTTGGTGAAGATTATTCTAAACTTGAGCAGCAACATGTTGTTGGATGGCTAACGGCACTTGGTGTTTATCTGAACTGGTTTCCTCAATATAGCATAATTGGGTTGTAAGACCTCGTAAAAAATTTAAAGATGAGCAACATAATTTAAGAGTACTTTCATAAGAAGTTTGAATCGTTGTTGAAGGAATGATCATGAAGCATGAATTTTTCGAGTATTGACTTTCGGGTTAATTTAGTTTTTGGGGTATTTAAGCTTGAGAAGAATGGTTAGGTAAGTTTCTATATAATTTTAAGTCTAAAATAAAAACTATCATTGAATTTAGAAGGTCGAAAAACTTTAAAATATGTGATATGAGGTGTATTAGAGATTTAGAGGTGTTTCGGGCCAAATTACAAAATTTGGGGCCCAATGAAATTTATAGTACTTCTCATAAGAATTTAAGGACCCCAAATTACCAAAAAAAAAAATTTGGTCTTAGCCAATGTCTATGTGATCGAGACAATAAATGGTATCGGCCTAGCAAAACACTTTGATGTCTTATTCTATAGTCAATTGTCTATCACTGTGTACCATATTTCAGCTACATAAACAACCCACATGATGTCTCACTCGACTACGCTTTGTTCAGATCAATAAACCTCAAACATGACAACAACATGGCTTACAACAATATCTTCGACGCAACCGTTGATGCATTTGTGTATGCCATGGTGGAGAGAAGGGTTTGAAGGGATTCCGGTGGTGGTGACGGAGACAGGTTGGCCAACGGTGGGCGGCGAAGCGGCGAGCGTTGAGAATGCGTTGGATTACAATGGGAATGTTGCGAGACGGGCGTTGAAGCGATCCAGTGTCGCGCAGGAACTGCATGAGAGGAACCATGGCCGGCAGGAGACTGTGGTCGAAAGCTCCGGAGGAAGGATGGTATGAACTGGACAATATCGTCGCTGCATGGGAGGATGAGAGCTTGATTGTGTCAGCAACGCCTAGCATATGAATGGCTTGATATAAGTTCCCAGTGGCTCGGACTACATGTGGTGTGTAAAATGAGTCTTTTAAGAAGACTTGTTGCCAACGGCAATGTACCGGACTTGATTTGCAGGAATGTGGGCAAGGATGTGGACTGAAGCCATTCTAGAGACTAGTTTACAATGCCGTTGGCGAGGGAAGGTAGGGCCTCGTTGGGGACACCGATCATAAGCTGGATTCGGATGCCGGAGAATGGTTTTAATGCATCTGGGTCAGCCTTGAAGAGGCGAATTCTTGTAATTCCGTTGGATTTTTATAAGGTTGAGAACGTCGGAGGGCTGAGGAAGATGTTTGAGACCCGGCCGTAGCAAACTCCCGACTGGTGCAGCAGCTGCAAAAACCAAGAAAATCAAAATGGTCAAAGAAAGTAAGAAACTGCAAAACAGAAAGCCTAAATAACAATGTTCTGGTTACAAATGGGTCTGGGTGATACCTGTTGAATGTAGGAAGAGGAAGAAGATGAGAGAGACTAGAGAGACAAAAAGGGGCTGAGTTTTCATTCTCATTAGCGCCATTGTGGAAGAGTACAATGAAAATTGAGTATTTAATGGATACAAGTATATTGTATGGGAATTTATACAATGAAATACAAAGAAGAAGTGTTAGGTTCTGGAAGTTGGTTTGATTTTGGTTTGAAATAGTTTCTTTTGGGTTTGCATGCTTTCTCTTGAAATGTGTTTCATTGAAGTAGCCGTTTCAAGATGTGGCCTTTGAACTTTCAAAATGTTGGTGTTATGGAAAGTTGAAAGTGAGATTGATATTAAAATTAAGTTAATATACAAGTTGAATTCAAACGTTGTTGTTTAAAAAAAAAATTGCCTATCACTTAATATGTATGAACTGTAATTTATATTTCTTAGGTTGAATTTGTGGTCCTCTATCCGAAACTAACTATAACCACTTTTTTACTTAATGAATTATCGTTTAAAACTAATTATTAATAATCATATTTTAAACAATATTGCCTCATTTATTCTAGGACAATTCATCTTACACAAATACCTAATTATATCCATTTAAAAAAAGTTCATTTTTGTAATCCAAACATGATTTTGATTCCTCCTTGTCTATTTCTTCATCCTATGACAGGTCCAATTTGACTTCGAATAATAAAAGTTTCATGTACAAAACTTGAAATATGTTCTCATTAACAATTTTGCCAAAAGACAGAAGGTGCATGCCCAATTTCCTTTCCAAATAGTCCATGCTATCACCACACTCATGCTAAAAGTTTAAGTTTCAGTTCCGCATTTCTACATCCTTAAAGTTGCCGAAAAACTGGTACAAATTAAAGAATAAACCAAAAAAGGGCAAAAATACTGGGACTTGCCTGACCCATATAGCATGACGTGGAAAAATAATAATAGATGCAATTAACAACAGACTATGTTTATAGGACCCAACAAAAAAAGAAAAATAATTCCTTTATTATTTGCACTTGATTCTTTTGATCACTTTGTAACTGAAAAGATAAAGAGAAAAAAAAAAAAAGAAAAAGTTGTGATTTATCATCCATATAAAAAAAAAAATACAGTATATGCTTCCTCTTATGGCTGACATGAACTTCAGAAACTTCCATGCACCATATCAGTGACCAGGTCCTCTAGGGCTAGGTCCCGATGCCAAGCGTTCAAGCCAGCATGACAAGGTCTCTTTTTGCATGCTCGTACATCGAGGGGTAAGCCGCAAGGTGATTTGCACCGGCAAAATCTCAGATAACACCCTTGTACACTCAAACATGAACTTGGCTCGTAATGACAACAACACTGAAGAAAAATGAACAAAAGGGTAGTTACTCTCCAGAAATTCATTGTCGTAATTATGCTCAGATGAAAACAGTGAGGACAGTTTTGTAAGAGTCACTTTAAGCTGTCGAAAAGCAGATTTTCTAGATGAAGTATGAATGTTGTTGGCGGGCTCTGTCTCTGCTGGTGGTTAGCTTTTGTTGGTAGCTTGAAGTCTGTTTGATAAAGGTCTGCATAAGGTTGAGGGTAATTATATAGAAATTATATTGTTGGTCTTCTTTGACTTGTAGCTTTTGAATGGGATTAGAAGCTTAAGACTAACGTGTGACCAGGATATATTGAAGAAGTCATGCACGCTGATTTTTCGAAATGTTACGATAATCAAATTCTTTGAAATAAATTTATAGTTTAAATGCATGACAGCGGATTTGGATTTTTTTATTTGAGTCATGTCATTTGAAACTCCAATAAAGACTCAAAATAATATGATGTCATGTTATTTGAGTTTCAAATTTAATCTCAAAAATTTGTCAATATAGCATTACTATTTTTTCGGATGATATTAAAGGCCATGCCCGTGTTCTTGCTGGCAAAGGAGAACACGTGTGTTCACTATGGTTGAATTCGTCCACGGGTGTGTTTATTAGGCACAAGTGACGGAGTTATGTAGTGTACATACCCAATAAATTATTGTATATTCTAAAGGAATTATCATCACTTATCAATTGTCTAAAAAAAAAATAAATAAAAATGCCCACTTATTTATTGGAAATTATTGTTGTGTAGGTATGATAAAACATACAAAAAAATTTCCGTGATATGAGAGGGAAAAACCAAGGAAAAATATGGGTTTAGGATAAATGAATCAAGATTTGAAAATGTGAGTTGATGGACTGACTGCTCTGTTCTTCCTTTGAATTTAGAAATTGTTACTGCTGAGGAGCAGGATGAGCCCTACTTACTATATGCAAAATAGAATTGTCGATGAATTGCAAGTTTTCTATACTGAAATATGAGTTATATTCATGAATTTTATTTAATGAATTCTATTTGAATAAATCAATGAAAGAAGTGAATCATATATAGTTACAATTTTTTTGATAAAAACTGAATTTAATCATGGCTAACCACATGCTAATGTGGTAGTTGAAACTGATTTTTGATTTTTAAGGGGTTTGAGTATCGAGTGTGCCGAATATACAAATAATTCAATTCGTTGGAGTCTAATCTCTTGAAACCCTATTCCAAGGACTATCCTACACCCTACTTT